CATGAAAGGAAGTTATGCATGTATACCAAGGCTGGACAGGTAGGCTAGCTGTGAAAAACCTTTTTTAGGCTGTGAGAGACTTTTAAAATGTTAGTCGAGCCTGCATGTGACCCTAAAGGAAACACAGAGTCATTGGAGTTTAACAAGCAGGGGAGTAACATGGTCAGACATGTGGAAAATCACTTGGGGAGCTGAGTGGATAAATGGAGATAGAAGAAAAATTAGGGCAGAGAGTCCAACCAGTCGACTAACGTAATTTAAGTCCAGGCTAGAGGAGATAAGGATTTGAACTCAGATACTGGCCATGTGAGTGAATATTATTTATACAGCATTTAAAGGTTTGTAAAGAACATGAAAAATAGAGTGGAGGTAGATTTTATAAGACTCCACAACCGATTGCATATGTGGCAAGAGGAGAATTAAGAATTATTCTGAAGTTTTGAACCTGGGTGACTGGGAAGATAGTGGTATTCTCAAAAGAAATAGGGAAGTGAAGAAAAGAGGTAGATTTGGGGGGAAAGATCATGAATTCTATTTTGGACATGTTGAGTTTGAGACACCTATGTGGCATCTAAAGAACAATGAAGACTGATCTGGTACAATCATCAACATTTAAATTGTACTGCCAACAGACAAGAGAAAGCATAAATAAACAGAACTATAACGGCTTCAACATTTGGTATGTTATGTTACAATATTAAATATTCCCTTCCACCCCCCTTTTTTCCCTTAAAAAGGGAAAAAAAAAAAAGAGCACACCAATCTGATCAGCTCTTGATCAGCTCTTGTTGTCTCCCTTCACCCTCTCCTCTGACTCTGGGCCATTCCAGAAACTATCCGCTTTTCCCATTTATATTCTCACATTTGGCACAGTGCTTGACACACAGTAAGCACTAAATAAATGTTTTTCCATTAATTCATAAACATACAGTTATTCCTAGATCACAAAAACTTACCTTTTGAAGGGATGTTATTCCTATGCAATTAACAAGATTAATAATAGAATGATTTTCAAAACAACATATTGTGACTTCTATACCATACATAAGGCTTGTAACTCACTTCCACAAACTTTTTAAACAAATGTTCCTTTTACACCACATATGAAAACAGGACAACTGCAAATCATCCTAAAATATTAACTACATTGGGTTTGAGTAAATATAAAGTAATTAAAAAATTGATATTTAAATAGTGTTTTAAAATTTGCAAAGTACTTTACAGATTATTATCTGACTTGAGTCTTTTCTACCAACCCAGTGAGTTAGATGCTACAAGTATTATCGACCTCATTTTGTAGATAAGCAAACTGAGGACCAAAGAAGTTAAGTGACTTGCTCAACAAGACGGGATTTAAACCCAGGTCTTCCTAACGTCAAGGCCAGCATCCTCTTTATTACACTGTGCTGTCTATGACGTGTGAATGGATATATAGAAAATGAAAAGTTAGTGGCTAGGTACGCTATAGAATCCAAGCACTCTAATGAAAATGATAAGCAAAATAACACACAATCCCCTGTCTTCCTAAAACCAGATATCAATCAGAATGACCAGCTCCTTCTATCCCAACCTACTCCACTCTGCCACAGCATACATATTCCTCATAGTCCCAACAAGTCCCCTACTAGGGTGACAAGGTGACCCAGCATTGTTCTAGGGAGTTTTTAGGGAAATAAATTCTCCAGAGGAAGGAGGTTCAGTGAAGGATAGAACTGGTTATGTATGGGATTATGAGAGATTTGAGATGGAAGGAGGGAAGGGCTGACTAGTGACTAGAAAGGGTTACAAAAGTGTAAGTCAATAAAACTATTTGTAGGCTAGTGTTTTCATTATTCTTCTATACAATTTTGTCCTGATTACATTCTGTGGCGAACCTGCTTTCTAAACCACCCAAAAAATTTAAAGAAAATATCCCTAAGCAATGAATACTTTCATGAGACAGGAAAATTAGAACAGAATGACACATCTTTCAGTCAAGTGAAAGGTGGAAAAGGATAGTATGATTTCTCCAACCATCATTTAGAATAAAGTTTAAAAATCCTAGAGAAGAACAAACCTACAGGAAGGCATCATAATATTCATTCTCTCTCAATGAACTCAATGAAGGGTTTAAGATGGTAATACCATTAATCTACCAACTAATTAGATATTTTCTAGGAGCCTTTATGATATTTTCTGAGTTAATATATTCACACTAGGAATATGAGAGTGGGATACTGAAAAAGATTTTCATTATATTCAAGTTAAGTAAGCGCTTATATATGGTGCCCCCAAAGTCTTAGTGCAGTTTTAAGCTATTATAACTTAAAACTACACTAAGACTTTTGGAATACCCTGGATATATGGATATACTTCAAATTTTTATGCCACAAATACTCCAAACTTTTTGAACTCATCACAAAATGAATGTAACCTCCTCTGGAGCTACACAAAAGAACAGGTGCTGGTCTGGATGATCACTGAAATACCTTCTAACCCTAGAATACTATGATTATCCTAATAAATATTTTTTGAACCTATGTTCTAGGCTTTACATTTGTCCCAATTAAATTTCATCTTTTTTTTGGCCTAATATTCCAGCCTATTAATATTTCTATCATTCACTATATCCCTCCCTAAAGAAGAAAGGGGAAGGGAACAAGAATTTGTTAAGTGCCTACCAGGCATTGTGTTAAATAGTTTACAAATATTATCTCAACTGATCCTCATAACAACCCTGTGAGGTAGGTGCCAATATTATCCCCATTTTAGTTGAGAAAAGGATCACACAGTCTGACTCCTGGCCTGACACTCTATCCATTGAACTATCTAGCTGCCCCAAAGAGGAAGTTAAAGATAGAAAGGGAAATTCCATTGAAACTAACTACAGAACATATAAAATACCCAGGACTGTACAAATACAACTACAAAACACTTTTTCACACAAGACATCTAAATATATGGAGAAATAATTACTGACCACGGATAGGATAAGCCAATATAATAAAAATTCCATTAATATCTAAATTAAATTACTTACTCATGCCATACCAAATTACCCAAGGAATACTTCATTGAGACAGAAAATTTTTCTAAAAAATCAACTGGACCAACAAAAGGTCAAGACTCTCAAGGGAAATAATGAAAAAAAAAATTGGGAAGAAAAGGAGGCCTAGCATTACCAGATCTCAAAGGATACAAGAAAGCAGTAATCATCCAAACAATTTGGTACTGAGTAAGAACAAAGAAGTCATACAGTGAAACATACATAGAAGCAAATGAGTACAGTACCCTATTATTTGATAAACTCAAAGATTCCAGTGACTGGAGTTAAGAACTCATGATTTGACAAAAATTGTTGGGGAACCTGGAACATAAGTCTGTCAGAAAACTCCAAATCGGTATGTGACTTGGACATAAAGGATAAAATAAAAAATAAATTAGAAGAGCAAGGAGATTACCTGTAAGATCCTTGGATAGGAAAAAGTGTTCAAGACCCAATAAGGAACTGAGATGTTCACAAAAGATAAAATGGATAATTTTGATTACACAGAATTTAAAAAGTATTTGCACAAACAATGTAGCTAAAATTAAAAAAGAAAAAGGTGAATGGGGAGAAGTCTTTTCACAAAGTTTCTTTGATAAAGGTCTCATTTTTAGGATTTATAGGGAACTGACTCAAATTAGTTAAGAATAAGAACTATCTCCTCAATTGATAACAACGATCAACAAATATGAACAGGTACTTTTCAGAGGAAGAAAGCCAAGCTATCTTGCATGTATTCTTAAACCATTATCTGGTACTCTAAATCACTAATAATTAAAGAAATGCAAATCAGAAAAACCCTGAGGTACTATCTCATACCTACAGAGTTCAAATCTGGCCTCAGACACTTACTAGCTATGTGACCCTGGGCAAATCATTTAACCCTGTTTACCTCAGTTTCCTCATCTGCAAAATGAGCTGGAAAAGGAAATGACCAACCACTCCAAGAAAATCTTTGCCAAGAAAACCCCAAATGGGGTCACAAAGACTCAGATATGACTAAAATAACTGAACAATAATTCTTACCTTTCAGATTGGCTAAGGCAACAGAAAAGGAAAATGACAAAGGCTGGAGGGACTGTGGGAAAACAGATGCTTTAATGCACTGCTATGGAGCTGTAAACTTGGTGCAGCCATTCTGGAAAGTAATTTGAAACTATGTCCAAAAAGCTATTAAACTCTGCATATATCATCTTGACCTAGCAAAACTGCTACTAGGTCAATACACCTAAAATTCATCAAAGAGAAAAAGATCCATATGTACTAAAAAAAAAAAAAATACACACACACACACACACATACATATACACACACATATTATTTGTAGTGGCAAAAAAAAAATTGGAAACTGAAGGGGTGTCCATCACTTGGGGAATGGCTGAACAAATTGTGGTCTATGAAGATAATAGAATACTACTGTGCTTTAAGAAATAGCAAAGGGGATAGTTTTAGGGAAACCTGGGAAGATTTGATGAACCAATGCAGACAGAAGTTAGCAGAGGCAGAACAATTTATACAATAAAAACAATATTGTAAAAACAAACAACAAACAAGTTTTAAAGACTTAAGAAGGCTGACCAACACAATAACCAACCAGGATTCCAGAAGACTCATTATAAAACAGGCTACCCAAACAGGCTACCCAATTCCTGATGGGAAGGTGATAGATTCAAGAATGCAGACTGAAACATAATTTTTTTTTCTGGACACAGCTAATGTAGGAATTTGTTTTGCTCAAATATAAATATTTACGTAGGGCTTTATTTTTCTTTCTTTTTTAGTGGGGTCAAGGGGAGGAGGGAAAGAAGAGAAATTCTGGTTAATTGGGAAAAAAAACTCATTTAAAAATAAACATGGGACACCAGAAAAAAGACATTCTGAAAAAAAGCATTTAATCTTTTAAAGTATTTCAATTTTTAGATATGTAGCATTTCAAAGTATTTTAAATTTTTATAAGAGCAAATCTGAAACATACCAGCATTATATCCTGATTCTTGAGCCAGATAGGAAGATCAGTTGATTGGCTCATTGCCTGGAACAAGGTTGCCCTGAGAGCACAGTAATTATCACCTCGGACTCTCCTTATAGAGGTAAATTTCTGAGAAACTTCTTCATAGCCCTGTGTGAAATTGTCAAAGAAACCAATACAGCTATTACTAAGTTCAGGTGGCTTAGAAAGTTTTATTCATATAGGAAAAATTCACTCCATGTCTCAAAACTCACAGATATTCTTTAAATAACCAAATTTCCCCCTGAAAAGGAGGAGGGAGAAGAGGGAAGGGACATTTGGTCTAATTCTCCCCACAAAGAACTCAAATGCTTTTATCAAAAAACTAAAATGTAATTTTTTCCCCAATTCAATAAATATTTTTAAGCATTTTTCATGTACAAAGAACCGGATAGGTGCCGGGGAAAAACAATCCCTTATGGAGCTTACAGTCTAAAATGGGGACAAGAAATAACATTGACAACTACAACATGTAATATTATAGGGTCTCTATTAAGAACTTTCCAAAACAAAAGACATGTATGTCAGGGTAGAGGAGAAGGGTTACTTATTACCAGCATTACATGAGGGCACACAGGGGAGGCTTCATGATAAAGTGTAAAGGATAAGCAGTGCTCTCTACCAGGCAAGGAGAACGGAGTTTCCTGCTGGGTAACATGGTTTTCAATGTCTGATCAAAGAAAGCATACAAATTTACCTGTAGAAATTATCTGTTTCCAAGAACTAAATTCAAGAGTTAATTTATTGCTTGAGTCTTCATAATAAAGAAAAACTGGGGAGCAAGGTAGAGAAAGTCTTCAACCATGGTTTGCGAAAGACAGTAGCCATGTCCAAATGAACATTTCAAGCATCAAGCAGCCAGATGAAAAAGAAATGGCATCTGGCTAGGAGTCAGGAGACCCAAGTTCTAGTCCTGGATTCACTAATAAAAACTTGGGTGACTTTGGGCATTCACTTCTCTAGACTTCATCTTCCTCCTCTGTGAGATCGAAGTGAAGGCCCAGATATTTGCTGTGAAGTGTCTTCCAGGTCTTCAGTCTGGCCCTCTCCAGAGTCAGAGGACATTACATCAAACCAGAAATCAGTAAAGTTGTTTCTTTAGGGAGCTAAAATAACATGAACCAGATATTTGCTTTCTGATTATCTAAATTCATGCAGGGTTAGAGCTCAGAAAATCTTTTTATATGGCCGTTTTATATGTCTATCAAGTTGCCTTTCTCAAATGTCAGTCTCTCAATTTCATCTCTGGCAGATCACAGCCTGCACAAGATTCTATTCTCTAACAAGTCCCTATGGTGCAGATATGTATGCTACTGATTAAACCTGTAGTCATGGGCTTTAAATATGCAGGTGTGCAATAAGAAAAAAAAAATTCTCCATCTGCTCTGAAAGTTTAAGAGTTAGATCTGTATTCTTGCCCAGAGGGAAAAACCAACTCACTTTAGCTAAGTGTGGGCAGCAGGGGTGCCTGCAGATAAAGCCAAAATTTTCCCTCATAAAAAGGGGCTTTGTATCTTCTCAAGCACAAATGCATGCATATTTGGATAAAATTCCAGAGTTCTAGCATGGAAGAAACTATTTTAGCCAGGAAAAAAATGTTACAGCAGATGTTAGCAACTGACTGTCATATCTGGAAGGGACCTTCATATGGCCCATGCAGAATGTCCAATTTTAAAAAGAAGAGCATCCTGCTGAGTTAGTTCCATAATACATTCTGACCCTGAATCAAGCAGCCGAATGGACTGTCCTGTCAAAAAGTCACTTAGGACTCCACCTGAATGATGAAAGAAACTTGTCAAGCAGGACTAGTTTTGCTTTCATGTAAGTGATGCTGAACTGCATCATCTAACAATGACAAGGGGGAAAGTGCCAAAAGTTTCTCAAGATAAACAGTAATTTGTGGTCAGCAGCCAATGGCTCTTCTCTAATGATGAGATATAGAGCAGTCCTACAATGTGGCATCCAAACAGAAAACAAGCTCCTCTAAGGACAAGGGACTATGTTCTATACTATTTTTGTATCCTCTACAGGACCGATTACTGGGCACACAGAAAATGTCCAACCAATACTTACTTAACTGGAACTGAAGTGGCACAACCCATCAAAACAGTACCAGGATACAAGGACTACCTGCCTGTACCCTAAAATCCTGGGTAACCTGAGGACTGTACAATCTAAGAGGGAGCCCCACATGACTGGAAGGCATAAGAGATATACTTTCAGGCTGGAGCCACTACTACTCTTTGAGGAGTAACTACCCTCCAAAGGAAGACAAGAGGATCTGAGCTTCCCCTGATCCTCGTTTCTAGTTACTCTAAAGAAGGACTTGGGGGATCTAGTTCAGCCCATGTCCCACAGGGCTCTTCATAATGACTAGACCCTTGAGGAGCAAAGCAACTGCCTTTTTCCAGGGGTTTCCTGGATTTCTAGGACTGGACTGTAAAGTGTCCCCTCAAAGCTTCCATAATCTTCTCAAGGCCCAATAATATAAATCAGGAGCTGCCACGTCCCTTACTATCACAATAGCAGGGTGTCCTTCTCTTGCTAAGTCCTCAACCATGGAGAAAAGCAGTGTCCTCACAGGTTGGTCGAACCTAAATCTAAAGTGGAAAATCAATCTTTCAGTAAAATAACAATTAATTTATAAACTAGAAGCAGTGTGATGAGTTGGTATCAACTGCATATTCAGACTCCAACCAGGACTAAATTCTGTCTCTCTCTCTCTCTCTCTCTCTCTCTCTCTCTCTGTGTGTGTGTGTGTGTGTGTATCTATATATCCTTGGACTCTGTTTCATCACCCATAAAATCAAGACAACAATATTCTTGGAAATAACCTAATAAATATTATCTTAAAGAACTTCTAAAAACAGGAAAAGCTGTAAGACTATCAATGAAAGCATGCACTAAAGCACACACACATATCAGCACATGCACACATATGTAAATGTATGAAGATGTGGTTAGTTTTTAATCACACCTTTTTCATCCGTTTTGCCATTTGGGTATTTCCTCTCCACTCTTTTTTGCAATAATCCATGATGTCCATTTCAGGGGCCACACTTAACTTGGGCTCTGTTAAGGAACAAATACAAAACAATAACAACCAAGAAAACATAAAACAAAGTAGCAATCTCATAACAAAGGCAACAGTCCACTCTTTCAACAAAATGATGTTGTTCTCCTTATCCCAGGAAAAAGGTATAGCTATAACATGATAAAATAAAGAAGGGGAAATCTGTTGTGAACATTTCTTGCATTCATTTCATAAAATAAAGGATTTCTGAATAATATCATGAGAATTATTAAAGCTATTAACAAAATTCTTAAAACTGCTTAAAGAAAAGATGAACTCCTGACACTGATCTGACAGTGACATAGTAATCGTTATCCCAACTATTTAAGCTATTAAAGCTATTAAGACTCTTGGGACACCCTGTGTACACACTGGGGCAGAGAGGTGGTGCAATGGATAGAGTGCCAGGCCCGGAGTTAGGAAAACTCATTTCCCTGATCTGGCCTCAGACACTTAATGAGCTGTGTGACACTGGGTGAGTCACTTAACCCTGATTACCTCAGTTTCCTCATCTGTAAAAAGCTAAAGAAGGAAATGGCAAACCATTCCAGTATCTTTGCCAATAAAACCCCAAATGGAGTCATGAAGACTCAAACACAACTGAAAACAACTGAATAGCAAGGTACACACTGGTTATATTTCCTTGCTTTATCGTCACACATACATGGTCCACAGAAGCAAAGTAAAGTTTCATAATGCAACAGGGAGATTAATGTGTCTCATTATGACAGGTTGTTTGTAGCATATCTAGAGCTAAGGTGCTATCACTGACCTAAGGAGGAAAAATAAAACTATCAATCCCTCAGATCCTTCCCCAAGCCACAGACTTGGCCAAAACAACTGCAAGTGAGCTGCCTTCCTTCTACCTTCTTCACATGGTTTTTGCCACTACCTACTGTTGCTTCTGGGGTTGCTGATGGTTCCCAGAAGCAGTGCCTGCATGGCCCCCTCACACTACTTCTGTGTATCTGAAGCCAATGAGTAGGATATGAACCACCTCATCCTATCCAGCGGAAGCCTCTTCCAGTGATCACAAAAGAAGTGGTGACTTGAGGTCCCATGGTTGAGGGAACAAGTTTGGATCCATGTCTTAGAGATTAACAATGAAGCCATGGTTTAAATAAAATCACTAACAGTGAATGGTAATATTGCACCATATATTTCATGCACAAAAGACACCTTTCTTGGAAATTCCTCAAATTTTTAAAAAGAAAAGTGTACAAATAAACGTACTTAGCCAGTGTCACTCAAAGGAAACACATTTGAAACAATGTACTCTTCTGCTACTGAGATAAAAAAAATGTATAATTGAAACAAAGTTGCTTTCAACTGACAATAAATGATGCGAATTAAAGAATTTCGAAAAATCTACTTGTACCCATATCAAACTTTCTTTGGAAGCACTCTTTTCCCTGACACCCTTCAATTGCTCAAACTAATTCAAATGACACAATAATAAATGCAAGATGTAAAAAGTGTGAGTGTTATAACTGTTTAGAAGCTAGTAGATGGCACAGTGAATAAACTGCTTGATCTGAATTCATGAAGAGCTGGCTTAGTTTTGTGAGCGAGGGCAAGTCACAACCTCTCTCAGCCTTGGTTTCCTTATCTTAAAATGGGAAGAATAATAGACCTTAACACCCCACCCCCCAAGTTGGTGTGGGGACAAAATGAGAAAATATTTGCAAAGCACTGTGCAAACCTTTAAGCATTATGAAAATGCTAGCTATTGCTGTTGTTATTCATTCATTCAATCAATAAACATTTATTAAGCATCTATTATGTGCCAGGCACTGAGGTAAGTGCTAGGGATACAAAGGAAAAAAATAAGTTACTGCCCTCAAAGAGTTCACAATCTAATGAAAATTTATACACATGTATAAGTACTTTGGGAAACTAGATGTGAATTCTATAATTTTTTCTGTAAATATGAAGTACTACATATGAATAAATTCAAACGTACCTGATAACCCTCTTTCACGTACCAGTAATTCTTTCTCCTTTTCTATTTCATCTTCAGCACGATACATGTCCTCCTCCCTGAAAGAATACCAAATAAGACATTTCAAGCACTTTTCTTTTTTATGTCATAGATCAGAATTCACGTTGTAAAAAATGCATTAAAAATTTTCTAGTTCTTATATTTTATCTTAAGTGATAACACTGACGGCAGCTAGGTGGTACAGCAGAGAATGTTCTGGACAATTCTTATACGCTAACAATACCTCATAATACAGTCACCTGTGTTGGGGCCTTCCCCCATGTGCAACAGTGAGCTCCTTGAGGGCAATAATTGTTCCTCAGCTGTTTTCAGTCATGTTTGAGTCTTCGTGTCCCCATTTGGGGTTTTCTCGACAAAGACAGCGAAGTGGTCTGCCATTTTTCCTTCATCAGCTTATTTTACAGATGAAGAAACTGAGGTAAACAGGGTTAAGTGACTTATCCATAAGGGTTTTAATAAAACATAATTATGCCCTTAAGGGCAGCTAGGTGGCACAGAGGACAGAGTGCTAGGCCTGGAATCAGGAAGACCCATCTCCCTCAGTTCATATCTGGTTTCAGACACTTAAATAGCTATGGGACACTGAATTTGTAAAGCTTATGGGGCATCCTGATGGAAATGTCTAGCAGGCAGCTGGTGATAAATGACTGAAGCTGAGGACACAGATACATGGCTCCAGAAAGTAGAACTAGAAACAATGGGTAAAAGTTGCAGAGACACAGTTTTAGGCTCAATTTAAGGAAAAAAACTGAAAACAGAAGCTTCCCCCTCACTGGAATGACTACTTGTTCTATACATTATAGAGGGCATTCTTGTTCTGATATGAGTAGGATCAGAAGGCTTTCAAGGACCCTTCCAACTCTGAGATCCTACAATGTTAAACAAATGCAGACAAAAACAAAGCCACTCAGATCAAGAAGGTACACCTAGAGATAAAAACACCAGGAAATGAGACCAGGAAGAAATGGTTCCCATGAAAAATGTTGGCTGTATTGTAAGCCTTCTTTGACAGTAATTTTTCTGAACTCCCTTCTTTTGCTTCATCAGAAGCCTTGACATCAAAGGCCTTGACAGCACAAGCTATAGCAGGTCCTCCTAACCCAGTAAGTCTTTGAGTCAGACTTGGTATGCCTATCAGAGGAGCAGCCTAGCTAAGTTAGGAGAAGCTCATTATCAGGTTGGTTGCAAAGTGATCAATCTTTGTCCAGAGTAACTCAAAATGAACATTGTTGTAAGTGCTGTGATTTACATTAGAGGGAAGAATACTACACAGGTAAAATGATGGATCCCTGATTTACCGAAGTGTAGTTATGTTTAGGTCTTATCCATCTATCAAAGACTCATGCATAGAGCCTGGAACATATTAGATGTTCAATTAAATGTTAGTTATATGATAATTAATGAATCTGCCATTGGTGCAAATTGTCATGTTCAATGGAGCAGAACAGGAAAGAGACCTTTTGCCACTACACCCCTCCCTTTCTTAATTTGTCTCTAAGTAAATGTCACTTTTCACTTTCATAACATAAGAGATAACTAAAGAAAACCACTTATGTTGGGAAAGAGGCAAGGGGAAGAAGGGTACTTTCCAAGAACAATGGCTCTGGTAAGATTTTAAGTATAAGGTGTGATGTTGCCTCCTGAGTCCATGCCAGAGTCAAAGCAAACAGAAACTAGATAGTCACAGGGGACTGGTGCATCAAAACTTAAAATAAAAGGTGATCTATGTGTTAGCCCATCCCTTACTTACAAGTAGCTCTCAGAAGGCACAATTCAGTTTTACCAAAAAAAAACAAAACAAACAATTCTTATTATAAAAAACAGTCCTTTAAAATGTTTCATAAATGCATAGAATACCACTGAAGAATCAGCTTTCTTTCATGTGATTAAATACCACATTCCAGGATAATTCTGTAGTTACCCTGGAAATGTATTCTTTAAAATTAGGAGTTAACCAAAGTTCATTTATCAGGGTCACTATGCAGGGTGACTAAATGTAAACAAGTTCCTACCACTAAACATTCACTCAAGTCTCCGTGAAAATCTAGTAAGATGGCACAAAGATAAATTGCATGGAATAATGGAAAGCTATCTATTTTCATGTGTATGGAAAATGAGAGTGGAAAGTATCAAAGATAGAGGGAGAAAAAAAAGCAAAATTAATGGATAGAAAAGGCAGAGTTCATTGAAAATTCTCTTAGCAACTGATGTATTTCTCTTAGGTCTTGTGCATATGCTAATTTTCATAGCCACCCCATGGCATAAGAAAATGTTAATATGGCTTTTATGAGTCAAATGACCCCAAAACTGTCTATTTACCAGAAGTACACGTCTTCGATTGAATTGCTGCTGAATACCACACTCAATCAGCAAGATGCATATATGTATAAACTTAGGAGGAAATAAGTAATATTCTCTACTTCAAAAGTTAAAAGAATATACTCAACTGACAAAAAGCATAGGAGAAGGAAGAGAGGAAGGAAATAAAATTCCACCACTGAAAATGAGGATAATTTTCTGTATTGAAAACATTTTCTTTGCTTAGTTTTGATGTCAATTTTGAGTTTTTTGAGGTTTTTGTTTGTTTGTTTGGCGAGGCAGCAAATGGGGACAAATAATTTAAGTACAGAGTAAGGAAAAACTCATATTACAGTATAAGATAAAAACAGGTAGATAAAAAACAAATCTAGGACCACAAAATGTTGCACCAACTTGGAAAAGCTTCCTTGACTTTCATATACACACACCAATCGTCTCCATAGCTCCTTGGTAACATACCTCCCAAACCCAACTCCTCTCTTTCAATAGGTTGCAAAGTAGACAAGTAAATGTCTACAGACTAAGAAAGATGGTAAACTCCATCTTGTAGGTATCTTTGAGGCTTAGTAAGATGTGATTCATGAATGGAATATGGAAACAAAAAGTATCATATTCAAAAGAAATAATAAATTAGTAAAAGGAGCAGCGGAATAGCATTATATACCAAAAGAATATATATGAGAAAAGCCACGAACTGAAAGGATTAAGTATGAGATATAGCACTTGTGGAAAAGGGATAAACAAAAATTATGTTATGGTAAAATACACTACTGACCACCAGTCCAGAAGGAGAAAATAGATGACTTCATAAAACAGACTGCAAGTTTTGCAAAGAGATATAACAAGGATGGAAACACTTCAACTGTCTGGACATATATTAGTTTTCTTATAATTAAAAGGAAACAGCAAAAATTTTACATGCTTTAATAATAATTTCATTTTTTAAAAAGGTAGAGGAAGTGATGCAGGGAACTGCTATTCTAGACCTGACTTACCACAAAGGAGGAACTGTTTACTTAAGTAGAAATCACAGAAACCATGAGAGGAAGTAGGCATAGCATCACAATTCATGACAGATTAGGAAGGGAACTTTAGGCATACTTCGTACACTCTAGATTTTGAGATAAGAGATTTCAAAATATTCAAAGTAAGGATATGTAGGATCCAATTACCTAACAATTCCACAACAGCAGTTGGTCTCAGGATGGGATACCCTTAATTTAATGCTAATAGCACAAACACAAATGATTGCAGTGAGGAAAAAGCTAATGCAGTAAAGTGAGCAGAACCAGAACAACATATACTATATCACCAATACTGTAAAGTTAATGGATTTTGAAAACTAAGGAAGTCTGACTGATGTAATGATCAACCACAATTCCACAGGATAGATCATGGCAGAATGCTACCCATACCTTGACAGCGAGCTGATGGGCTCAATATGTAGAATGAAACATAACATTAACGTGTAATTGTTACAAGGGTTTTGTTTTTCATTTTTTTCTCTCCTCCCCCATGACCCTCCCCCATCGGTAGGGAGCAAGTGGGAGATAGGAAAAAATAAATGCTTAATTGAAAAAAGAAATTTTAAATTAAAAAAAGAGAGAGAGAACAATATGGAAGTACAGGGAACTAATTACCCAACTTAAGATTTTTTTAAAATCCATGTAAAGAAAACAGAAAGGCTGGTAACTAGGGATGAAATGGTAGCTGATCAGGAGAATGATAAACCACTAATCCAAAGTAATGAAGATGGAACACACCACTTACCTTCTGGCAACTGATGGTTATGAACTTAAAATGTAGAAACATATTTTCAAACGTAATCAATGTGAGAATTTGTTTTGCTGGACTATGAAGCTACATGTGTTGAGGACTTTATTTTTCAGGTTTTTGTTGGGGGGGATTAAAATTTATTGTGGGGGAATGAAGGACAGTTTTTAAACAGGATGAATGAGTAGCACAGTTCTATTAACAATAGTATCAAGAAGAAAAATAGCTCAAATCAGAATGAGTTAAAGTTATCAATTAATACAAAGAATGATAATAAAAGGGACCTTTTTTGGTTTCTTTTGTTAAGCTACGTTGGGGGCACGAAAAACAAAGGAGAGAATTCATGTCCAGGATGGATGATGATCCTGGATGATAAAGACTAGCTCAAGATACTCCACTCAATCCTAATTGTGCTTCTGAGTCTTCTTTCCAGGAAGAACAATCTTCAGACTGGAAAGGAACAACAGAAATAGATAAAAGGGAATTGAAACCTAAGGTAAATAAAAAGTTGGTAAGAGAACAAAGTTGCTAGCTGCTGTCAATTCACCAAGCTCAGACAAACTGTACAGGGGCCCTGAGAGAACTGGAAGATAGGATCACTGAGCTGCTGTCATGATTTCATTATAAACTTCAGGGAATAGGAAAGGTACAATTGATGATGAGCAAATGTTCCAGTGTTCAAAAAGGGGAAGAAGATTCTTGAAACTAAAGTTTCATTTCAATTCTTGGCAAAATATCGGAATGCTTTATATCAAGGGGTACTTTGTAAGTACTTAAAAAGGGAAATGGTGATCACTAAGAATCACCAGAAGCTTACCAAGAACAATCCAAACTAACCTTATTTCATTTGTGAAAAGGTTATTAGATTTGATCAATTAGGGGAAGGTTGTATATACAATTTACCTAGACTTTAGCAAAACTTTTGACAAAAGTCACCTGTGCTTTT